GCCGCCCGCTGTCGTCCAGTTTGTGGCCTAGTAGTCAGTTGATGAACTGATGATTGTTACCTTTTTAAGCTGATGGCTCTATAGCCAAAGCTCAATAAATAAATAAAATAATATAAAAAATAATAATAATAATAATAATAATGCATGAATGAACGCCTTGGTCCACAAGTACGTAAAAAACAATGTTCAAAATGTTCAAAATTATTTTAATCACCACAAATACGATTTTTGATCGTGATCTCACAACGAGCATTAGGAACGGTGTCCTTCCTTAAATACACATTCTTCATTATGTGTACGATTTTTCTACGTAAATGTACGTATATGTACCTATCAATGAAAATAATTGAATATCCAATATCTTCCAAAAAAAAGGTGCAACTAATTCTAAAATTTTGCGACTAGAACCGACTAATTCACGACTTTATCTAGGTGCAATCAGATCTAATCTAGGGGCTGTGGTTCTCGAGATTCCAAAATGGTGCCGCCGGAATAAGCTTATTACAGCGTGGACAGTAAAACACCTCAATAACTTCAAAACGGCGTAACGACTAAATCTAGTTTCTTACGACTAGAACCGACTAAATCACGACGTTTTTTTAGTGTAATCAGATCTGAGCTAGGTGTTGTGGTTCTCGAGATTGAGAAATGGTGCTGCTGAAATAAGCTTATCCCAGCGTGGACAGTAAAACACCCGTATAACTTTGGAACGACGGACCGACTAAATCTGGTTTTTTGCGACTAGAATCGACTAAATAGCGACTTTTTCTGGCTAGTCAAATTTCAAAAACTCGACCATGGTCACGCTGGAATAAGGCACACAATTTTTTACTAGTTGTGTTTTCAATCATATACTAATGACTCATACCTATGTAAAATTTAAAATTTGCACTTATTGTAACGATTGAAAATGATAAACGAGTCAACGACAACTTTTTTATTCTAATAATTATAAAACAACTTAATAATAATCATAATATTTTAGGCCTTGGGAGAGGCGAGAATCTAAAATATATATATAATAGTAATTTATTTCAAATAATTTGAATCCATAATTGGTTAGATACATACTTAGCTATGTTAGTTTTGTATTCTAAAACATTCACTCACCGCTCTGCGATGCCATTGGAAATCGCAGAGCAATTATTGATGTAAGGGCAGTCAAGCCTGTTGGAAATCAATTTTAAGATACTGTTGGTGGTGCTCCTTACCCTGCGCACTAGTGAGGCACATCTTTTACGCAAAAGATAATTTCCTAAATTGGCTCTACCGGGAATCCAACCCGAGACCAAGAGGTACGGAATTCACTCCGCGTCAACGCACACGCCGCAGTATGGGAGAAAAAAAAGTTATTGAATTCAACAAGATTGGTTTTCGTATGATTAAAAAAAATGTTATTTTTGACAGTTATAAATATACAGTTTTGTCAAAGATATCAAAACATTGAATAATCTATTGTCATCATTGACTTACAAATAAATGGACGACGGGTCTAATACAAAAACCACGAAAAAAATGTCCTAAGTCAAGCTATTCGAAATTTAAATTGTTATGTCATCGCAGTATCGCGCTGTCCGTAGAACAAATGAAGACTAAAGCGGAGTGTCGCGCTCTGTATACGATTTTAGCGCCTTACAAGTGCGGACACTTTTTAGCGCGGACCCGACGTCCATATAATTGTAAGTCAATGATTGTCATGAACTTTTTCGTGTAAATATCGTGAAAATATGAATTTGTGTACATACGAGTATGTATGTGTATATGTCTATGATATGTACATATATTATGCACACATATGTCAAGGCACAAAGAAATATAAACGGTAAATCTAAAAAAGGAGGAAGTTCTCAATTCGACTGCGTTTTTTTGTATGTATGTTACGCGATAACTCAATAATTAATCAAAATAAATATGTGAACCGATTTTGATGACAATTTTATTTTTTGTTGAAAAGAGGGTATCTTGGCATAGGTCCAATTTAATACTTGAACAAAAAATGCACCTCTAAGAGTGGCCAACTGGGGGATGAATCCGGGTTCGCACACTTTTCCGGTAACCGATTCCAATAAAACTTGGCAAAAAGATGTATAGGTGTGCCAGAATCTCATGGCGTTAAATATTCAAATAATCAGCGATGAATTAGGTGCATTTAAGTTACATTTCACGATTTAGAAGTGGGTCTCAAATCATGCCAATTAGTAGAAGTAAAAAACTCGATCTTTGAAATTTTAACGATGTAAAATCAAGTACCAATGTAATTTTTTAACCGACTTCAAAAAAGGAAGAGGTTCTCAATTCGACAGTGTTCTTTTTTTTGTATGTATGTTACGCGATAACTCCGGTATTTGTGAACCGATTTTCGTGATTCTTTTTTGTTCGAAAGGTGGTACTTCCATAGTGGTCCCATTTCATTTTGAAGAAAATCATCCACCTCGAAGGGTGGCTGTTACCGCATGAAGATTCATTTTTATAAATAGCGCCTAACTTTAATTTAGGAGCAATTACTTTAATGGTTGATTTTGCTATTTCTCCAATTCAAGGCGTTTTTCTCTCAATATACTACTTTGAGTAGTGAGAACCGATTTTTATTATCTCCAGTGTCAAGTCCTGTATAGTGGCGAACTAGGGGATATTTCAATAAAACTTAGCAAATAGACGTAATTCCACGTACTTTTCAGGTCGTTTTTTTTAGTACTCTACACTGAGATTATGCTGGTACTGATCGGCAATACTACAGTGTGTAGACTACAGAGTGGTAAAAAACAGATGAATGGCGTAAATGCGAGTTACAGCAAACTGCAATCGTAAATAAATCGATCTATCACCCTCAATGTAATTGATATATTTTTGTTTAATTTTAAAAGTATCACAAATTACTTACCTTTCTCACATACAAATTCATATAGATCTTAAAACATCTACGAGGTTACATCAATTCTGGTCAATTAAGATATATGAAGTATCTAGTACATTTTTTCCTACTATACTGATGTTGCCCACTATAAATTTAAAATTGTCTAAGTGCCGTCAGATTCTGGTACACCTATAATTCCACTAAATTTAGAGTTCGGTTTTTTTTAGTACTAGTATTGATTCTTTTTGGAAGAATCTCTTCGGCTACCTGCTGTTAAAACCAAGGCATTGACCTACCAAAAATGGACGTCGAGTCTAATACAAAAACCACGAAAAAAATGTTCGAAGTTAACCTATACAAACGTAGTGACATGTAACGAAATATAAAAAATTAAAATATTTAATTTAAATTGTAATGTCATTGCAGTACTGCCTAATGTCGCTTGCAATAATTTAAGGACCCAAAAACACCATATTCAGCTTCTACTGGAAATTTAACAGAATGCGCCATATTTAGCTTCGACTGAAAATTACTTGAACACAAGAGTAATGGAGTAGCCTTTATCGTAAATATTAATTAATTTTTATGTATATTATTATGTCGAATTTTGTGCAAATTCACATAAAGAAATAATAAAGAGTTGGGCAGATACAAACGTACAAATATTACTACAAATGTGAAAGTAAGCGTGTACTACATTGACCTACCAATAAATGGACGTCGGGTTCAAAAAAATACATTTGACATTTTATTTCGTTAGCTCGAATTAAACGTCATTAATAAAAAAGATTTTTTTATTATTTTAATATTTTTTACCTACGGAATGAACGTGCATACCTAACAAAAATTAAACGAACAAATGGCGGATTTCTTTAGTGTCGTACCATAATCTATCGATAAATCATTATCGACACGCAAGCATTTAATTAAAGTAGATAAATATTCCATTTGGTAATATTTTAGGTTATATGGGAATATACGGAAATGTCACATGAAATTTTGGATTTATTGTTTAGCGTGTATAAATACTCAAATATTACTAAAAGTGAATTTGCACAGAAAAAAATTTATATTTGTAATCTGAGAGTATATATAAAAAAGAGTAAACTTTGAAATATAAATCATATACATTTCCAACCTCACGATTCATATTTTCATAGAGAAATTTTTAGGCAAATTCCAAATAGTGTAAGCTTTTTTGTATTTATGCATTGGTATAGAATTAATATCAGTGGCTGTTTTAAGTGAATCCTTAATACTTCCATTTAATTTTGGAAATAAGTGAAAGTAGTACTAATATCAATAATACTATTATTATCATATCTTTATTTGCTTAAAACATGGTGTAACAAGAGATAGTGTTAGTATAAACATGTTTCACATATATTAAATAGCATGCAAATGTCTGATTATACAATGTCAATTGACTACTATTGGCCGAGCGCCTTTGATTTGTGCAGAAAAATCGCCACTTCTCCGAAGTGAGACAAGTAGTCACGAGCGACTATCGACGCTGGTATTGGCCTTCACCCGGCAACGTTAGACCAACGTAGTCTTTGTATCGCTGGTTTTATAAAATAAGATTTTTTAGTAGTTGGATTTGTCAGTGGGAAAAAATCGGAAACGAGTGGATAATTTTGTTTTCAAGACTTGAGAATGCCTAGTAAATGAGTGTTATTTAATCTAAATTAAATATAAAATTATTTACCAATAAACCTAGTGATGGAAGTGCATTATCATGTAATCTAGTTACATTCAAAGTTATGTTAAAATTTGACTCTTCAAAATGAAGCGAATAAATGAAGATGGTCTTTGATTTAATGTTTATATTTGGCACTATTATACGTCGGTATGATTTCCAACCATTCTTTTTTCTTTTTTATTTGTAGGTAAACTTGAAATAGTAAAAATAATAATAATAATAATAAAATAATAAAAACCTCGTAGTGAATTATTTTAATAACAGAATAGCGATAATATGTACGCTTCCAAGAACAACACTATCTCAAAATAATCGTTAACAACAATCTTCAATATATACAAACAAACACGCATGGTCACAACACCGCAAGTTGCGTGTTAAAAGTTAAAAAAGGAGTAACTTGTTTATATATTTAAATATAATTTAACCGCCATGAAAAAAGAGGGTGTAATGAACTTGACGTTGTACTTGCTTATCTGCGTGAATATGTTGATTCTGTTCAATTAATGTACTGATTACTGGCAGACACTTTAGAACTCTGCGAGCCAAATAAAGGAGGTTAGGCACGAAACGTATCAAATAAGGCTTTGACTCTGTTTGTAATAAGAACTTAAAAAAACCATGAACTGAAAGTTTAACACTAATATTAAAGAAAACCGCGACTTAATAATAACTTGTCTAATATTATATCGCCTAATTATAGTCTAGAGTTTAACTAAAATTTACGCCATTAGAAAAAGGTCACTAGTTCTTGCCAAGCCTAGCGGCCTCCTCCATGGTGTCAGGCAGCTTTGCACCGAGCGTCTCCGGCGCGACCAGCACCAGTGCACCCGACAGCAGCGCCATGCCGCCGAACAGCGTGAACGGTAACTGCTCCCACACTGACGCACCCTGCGACACGACAATATCTAGCCTTTGAGGAATCATCATAGCATTTATTAAATCCGAGGACACCTGCACAAAACAGGAAAATGTATCGCGATGTGATGTGAGTCCGCTCTATCAAACGTCAAATAAATGTCAAGCATATCTTTCATTCAATGAAATAGATACCTACTTAATGACTAATCTGCAACCGTATTAATTGTTAATAACAACCAATATACATGTCTATCAAAGATGATTTGATCCTCATTTCCGATTGAGAAGTTAGAACTAGGTACTGAAATTTGCAAGTTTTTGTAGGCACTCTGTATGGTGGTTGTTTCAAATAGATTTGAATATAACAAACGGGGATCAAGGTGCATTTCACGTTTAAATTCTTGTCTATCACAGAGTCTCAAATTTCTCTTTCTTGCTGCGCATAAAATTGTACTACAACAAATTATAATTCCTGACCAGCGCAGGCGTGAGCGGTGCAAGGATGGAGCCGATACGTCCCATCATGGAGGAAAATGCGAAGAGACTATGTCGGTATCTGGTGGGGTACAGTTCCGCTGTGTACACATACAACGTGGTGGCCACCATCGCGATGGATAACTTGCCCAGCAGGAACACGATCAGCGACAGCGAGAACTGACCTGGGAACATTGAACAGTCATCTTGTATGCATTTAACAATTTACCGTGTCATCATATTGAACTTATATAATTAAGCAGAAAATCACCGTCCGGTAGGAAGATGTACGCGGCTTGACAGGCAGCGCAGATCCAGTAACCGGAGGTGAGCACTGGCCTACGTCCCACCCGTCTCATGACGAGCAAAGCGCTCCAATAGCCCGGGATCTCCACAGCTGATGCCAACGCGTAGTTTAAATACTGGTCACCGGCCATGTTCACAGCGTTAATCGATAGTCCGTAGTATACAAAAGTCATCGTTATCCACAACACCGGTGACACCAAACACCTCAATAATATTGGTTTGTGGCGGAATACTTCCACCACAAGCCAAGGTTTTTTCTCGTTGTTATTCGGC